TTCAAAGCTGCAGCAGTGATGAAACGAGAGGAAGCTGCATGTAGAAGAGAAGTCATTTATGTGCGGTGAGGCGGAACACAGACAGCAGCTTTTTGTTCCAGTGGGGTGGAAGAGACTGCCGCGTTGCTACAACAATAACATGACGTGTTTGAAAGCTTTCCAAGTTTTCTGCATGGTTCATCTAGGAGCAGAAATCTCCGCATGTCTGGTAAACAACTGGCTGACATCTTAATGTTTGTAAAAGCCTTTGACCAGAGGGCAGTAAAACTTCAAAATAAGGTCAACAACAAAAAAGGTAATCTGCTCCTGCGAGGTTTTTCATTTATAAGCACAACAAACACAGCCGGCACATTTCCCAGTGATAGTTTAGTGACTGTTGACATTTCCTTGAGGTGCTAGAACATTTATCTGTCTTGTTTTTTTTTTCTTACTCAAAACACAGCTGCTTTTGAGACTGACAATAAAATAAGAAATCCCTCTCTCACACAGGTGTCGGACAACATGAATGAGCGTTTGTTTAGTGTGTGTGTGTGTGTGTGTGTGTGTGTGTGTGTGTGTGTGTGTGTGGGCACAGGCAGAAACAAAGAATTCCTGTCCTGAGAATTAGCTCACATACCTCACTGTCCCTAAATCTGTCAAAGTCAAATCTCTCATTGTCCAAGGAATTCAACTTCAGCTTTAGGTTGGACACTTCAGACATCAGTTCAAGCTTCTGGGTCTCCAGTGCATTTCTGCACAGAAGCTCCTGCAATGATAAACGGAGACTGTTACAAAAAAACACTGCAGTCACTATTAGCAGCAAACAACCTAGGCAGTGTGGCCATCATTGTAAATATGTAAAACATTAAAGGTGAAACCAACATGTATAAAGCTCACTAGAACACAATGAGCAAGTCTTGTTGTTTGTTGTATGATGGATCTGATGATGATAATTTGTTAAAAAAAATATGAAGATTCAGTGCTTCGTGTTAAAGGTAGACATGGAAATCGGCCAGCATTATAGCTGACAACAAGGATAAGGAGAAGCCCCTGCTATACCCAACACGTGTGGACCAGACACAGCGGCAGCAGGTTATTTGAGAAATATGCATTTATCAGACAACAGATGTTTGCTGACAGAAGGACAAGAACTTCAGTGTCCCTTCCACACATGTGAACCATGAATAGCTTTATATATCTATATTACATATGAAACACACACACACACACACTCACACACACACACCTGTTGCAGCATCTCCTCAGTGGTGTTGAGTTTCTCCCTGTGCTCGTCCAAACACAAGTCTAGGTCTCGAATCTTCTCTCCCTGAGCCTCCACCTGGTCTGTCAGCACACTCACCTGCACGGCACCAGGAAGTCACTTGTTTATTTAAAAAGAGTTTTTATTTCTGTCGAACATAGCAATTTTGTATTTGAGAGAATTTTTCTTCATCTGGAGAGATTTTCTTAGTGCTGCTGGATGGGTACCTGAAGGACCAGAGACTCCTTATCACTCTCTAGTCGTGAAAGCCTTTCCTGGTAGTGGTCACCCACAGCCAGAGAGATGTGCCCATTGGACTGCAGGGAAAGAAGAAAATATGTATTAGACAAAGACCCATAAGAGGAACTGATCTTTGACCTTTTAAAGTGCAAGTACATTTCTGAATTCTGCGGCTCTTAACAACCTTAAACATTTCTGTGCTTAATAATCTCAGATCAGTTTCACATCAAAGTGCGACTGACTACGCTGCTTTACCCTGCACAAACAAAACCTTACATGGCTGAGAAAGCGGCTCACATTCAGACAGCTGTATGCGCACAGAGTGAGTTACAGCATTACACAACAGCTCTGCCATTTATCTGGCCTACAGCCCATCACTCTCCCAAACTCTGGTTCCCAAGAAGTCAGCATGTTTCTTGCAGCACACCGGGTTTGACATTGACAACACCAGCATTTCATCTTGGCTTCCCAAAGAACTCAGCAGAGGAGGACAGTCATGTTTTCGCTTGGCAAACAAGTCGGTCGTCTCCTAGCACACGGCACTGTTTGCCAACGCTTGTCTGCATTCATAGAGTTTTAATGCAGCACACGGATTGAGCACAGTCAAAAGCAAAGCAGATATGTGAAAGCTTGTTTGTAGCACATGCTGTCCCAGTCATCACAGACAAAACCTCTTCCATGGTTACACAACTGGAACTGGTTCAGACACTGGGAGTGTTCCTTCCTTCACTAATATATCCAAGGTGAAATGGACAGAAAATCTCAAAGTAACCTGAAACTTTTAAAAGAACCTGAATATCATCAGCACATAAGCAGTCACCATCATGCAGTACAAAAACAACATGAATTAACTGTATTATACATCCCTAGATAAACCAGTTACCTGAGGCCACACTATTCTTATGAAGAGAGTATTTTATGATCTTCATTTCCAGTCATTACACTGAAAGATTAACATTGAAAAACATACTCTTGCTCTAAAGTAATGATAACAGCTCCATTCCTGTGCTACTTTGCATTACCTAATCTGTTCAGTGTCTTTAACACTATGTTATTTTACACGGAGTCTCATGCAGCAAGTTTGCCTCTTTCCTGCATGTCAGACACTTACCAGTTGACCATGGAGCCACTCGACCAGACTGTCGGCTGTGGAGTCAGGGATCTGGCAGCGGAGACTCTCCCTTTCCTCTGTGTCCATCAACTCCAGGACGCTCCTCAGGTCTTCCAAAAGGTGAAGCGCCCGAAGGCTGCCCATGAAAGGAGAGGTGGGCGACTGGCAGTCAAACAGCCCATTGGAGTAGTCCAGAGACTTGGAGCCTGAGGGAGAGAAGCACAACAGAGGAGTGAGGGACACATTAAAGACAGATGCCCCATCTCAATGTCACTATAATTATTCTGACAGGCTTTACTTACTGAGCTGCTCTTGATAGTACAGAAGAAAATGATTTACAGTGTTTAGAGCACACATAGTAAAAATTCACTGTGCCATACAAGGGACAAGGCTTAAACTGATGTTTTATCTATAACTAATAATATAGTTCCTCAGAGGCTTAACTAAAGTGAGCAATTCCAATCATATTATTTAGGAACAACCACTAATGGCACTGTTTTGACATCTGATCCTCCCGAGCCACATCCAGAGTTTCTAAAGTCCTCTGCAAACACTACAGAATGGGAGAATAGTGTCAAATGGTCCACTGATACATGATACAGGTTGGTATTTATACAACTTAAGCAACACTAGTAAACATGGCTATATGCCACACAGGCTGCCTAAATGAGCAGACACATAAAACAAACATAAATGCTAAACTCTCTCTGACAAACATGGAGCTCCAGACATCATATCAGCTCTGCAACAAACCATAACAAGACACATGACTCCTTAAATACTCTAAGTCATAATAAAGTATTTTGTTGATGTTTAATGCTCCAGGAGAACTTTACCTGCTATAATGCCGTCCATCTGCTCCAGGGCAGCTGCCAACATGTCGCTGGCATCAGACATCATCTTTAGTCACTGATAAACCTCGAAGGAGGAACAACAACAACAAAAAAAAACATTTAAAACTTGTTTTCCCACTAGATTTTAGTCATTTTGTAAACTGACCATAGGGTATATATTTTGGCTCTTGGCGAAAAGCGTCACATTACAAATGTTGCACTACTATAACACATTTCAAAGTACAATAATTAAAATCGCACGAAGCAGTGCATTTCACTAAATAAAAAATTATAGGAGTGTCTTAAAAATCTCTGTACCTGCATTGTTTGCCAAACAGTAACACATAAAAAGAAAACAAGGAGTGACATGAAACAGACCGGAATTTAGAATGAAATTATCCATGATTATTGTGGCTGCAAACCCAGCAGCGTGACGCACAGTTTAGTCTATGGTGTAACAAATCATCTGCTTGAGACAGAGGAGGACAAACCCCAGCAAACTAGCTACAGTGGTGTTCAGATTTCTGGGCAAAAAAGTGCTCTTAAGCATGTGATTACAAAAAGGTTCCCACCCACAAATTAGTCATTGACTGCAGTTACATCCTCAACAACCCTCTATGCCTAAAAAAGGACAGTGCCTGTTAAAATGGCATATTTGTGAGATGGGATGCATTATGGCCTGGTGAATAATGCATTTGAGAATATCAAATCAGGCCATTTAACTAATATATGAGCACAATGAATGTCCTGCTAACAACACACTGGACACTCTGTTTAGAGAGGAGTGAAGATACATTTTAGTGTCCCAGTCAAGGACATCTGCCCAAGCAGCACAACAGACCCTTTATCATTGGACGTTTAGTCAAAAGGCTCTGCCGTATATTCATGCATGCTTAAACATGGATGCACAGACGCTCATCTGATCACACACCTCTTCCTTTAATCGGCTGCCCTGACATCCTGGGAGTGCCCGACACTGGGACATAGCACCATTTTCAAACTTTGTGGAAACCACCCACAGACCTAACACTGTTATTTCAGGATTCCTGTGGTCACATTTTCCATTATGTGTAAAATAAGCATGCACTAAAAACACAAGGATCGTCACAACACACAGTAGGCTGAGAGGAGATGAGTGGAACCGGCGTTTCCACCAGTCGCCTCCATAGTACAGCTGCTGAGTGGTTTCCAACAGTAAAATATATGCTCTTCTCAGGCTGCCGACAGAGACCACTTGTCCCAACTCGTGTACAAACGGACAAGCGGACATACACCATGACATTTAAAGAAGGCAGAGCAGAAAACAGAACAGTTTTATCCAAAAGGCAATTTGCACTGTTCTGTTTGCTTCAGGAAAGACGTACTTTCTCAAATGACTTTAAAAATTCAAAAGATGACATTTAAATGGGAGTGTTTCCAGGGGAATCTAAAAATACCCGCCGAAAAACTAGCAATGGTGTATGTAGTACCAGCAGTCCCACATCAGTGACATCTTATCAGACAGACACACAACATTAGACACAAACGCAAAAGGAGAACAAGTAAATCACTGCTCCTTATTTGTAAACACATCGAAGCGAGCTCTGATGCAACAACAGACTTGCCTAAATCCAGACTGACGTCACTTAATTCAATTTTAACAGTAGATTAGAGCTGCAACAATAAATCAATTAATCGATTAGTTGTCAACTTTTTTGATAATCGATTTATCTCTTTGAATCCTTTTTTAAGAAAACCTCCAAATTCTCTGATTTCACCTTCTCAAATGTGAATATTTTCTGGTTTCTTCACTCCTCTATGACAGTAAACTGAATATATTTGGGTTGTGGACAAAGAAGATGTCACAATGGGCTTTGGGAAACAACAATTGGTGTTTTTTTTCACATTTTCTGGACTCAACTAATCGATTAATCGAGACAGTAATCGGCAGAATAATCGATGGTGAAAATAATTGTTAGTAGCAGCCCTGCAGCAGATTCTGCAGCGGATCTATCGGAAAAGAATGAGAAAGAGCATAACCAACTCACCACACTCCAGCAACAAATGCACAGCAGGCATCCAGTCTTTAACAGCAGATAATACAGACACAGTTCAGATCATGATGACTCAAACTGGAATGAAGGCCTGCAGGGCATCCTCCCCGCTAAAAACCCAGAGTCAGCTTTTCTCTCCCAGCAGAAAGACAAATATGGGTAAGGTTAACACATGGCTTTCAGCAAACACACTTCAGACACATCCGACCAAGACCAGACGTGCTGCTCAGGAACCTGCTGTCCATGTGTCAATCGCTGCTAAACATGAACCTGTCTGAGCGCTTCCATGGGATGCCTCCATGGTGTGTTAGTCATATGTAAACACAAGAGGGTTGTCTAGCAAGCTCACAGGGTGACTTAGTTTGCCTACGTTGGGAGTGTTTTAGGGCTGCAACCAAGGGATTATATTCTTGATTAATCCATTAATTGTTTGTCTATAAAATGTCAGAAAATAGTGAAAATACCCATTATGATTCCAAGAGCCCAAGAGGACATCTTCACATTGCTTGTTCTCTCCGACCAACAGTCTAAAGCCCAAACATTCACGCCAGTAGATGTTTGGCATGTTTGCTTGAAAAATGATAAATCGATTACTAAAAACGTTCATTTTCTGTCAGTACACGAATTAATTAAGCTAGTGTGTTTTAATTTTTTGTTGAATTAAATTAAATCATAGAGGATATACCTGTACTGGCTCTCAAGTATGTATTCCATCTGTGCAAGATTTCTGTCAAAGGAGACATCTCAAAAATACCAACAAGCAAGCATCACATTGAAAAACAAAGTCTCCCTGTCTGCCCTTCTATAAGCACTCCTTACACCAACCATAAGACACACAGAGAGGGCTATTGTTCATGGTAGCGGGGGTATTTTGACTGAGAGGCATGAGAAGACAAAAGATAGAAGAACAAACCCTGCAACGCAACGCAACAGTACACATGGAATTTGCACACAACACTTGCCTGCATACTCTTTTCAGACCCAAAGAGCCTCAAAACACAACCCCCCAAAATTAGAAAAGCAATCTTTCCCTTTTTTGAAAACAGCCATATAATTCATGGAGACATGTAGAGAATAATGAATACAAGGGGGGAGAGTGGAGAACTATTTATAATGGCTTTTCAAATCTTCAGCTATGGTCCCTTAAGGCATCCTCATTGTACAGCTGAAGTACTGCTGGGATGAAAAAAAAATTTGAAAATCTTGTAATTCCTCAGTCCTGAGTGCCCAGTAAACTCACACACAGGAAATAGAAAACAAAATAAGAAGCCTCAGGGCCACTTGTCTCTGAGTGGAGAAAGTGTTTACAGCAGTCAAGCTGGCTTTAACAGCTTGCATTGAGAAGAGTTGCAGTGGTGGTAAAAAAATAAAAATACCCAGGAAGAGAGGAATTTACAATCCAGGCATAAATCATGTAGCAGTTTGCTTTACTCGCTCTTTTTAAATATCCAGGTAAAAAAAAGAAATAAATGATCTGTGTCAATTTCTGTGGACATCCAAGTCTCACCACATACTGACACTTTCCATGTTTTGAGTCAAGCAGGCCTTGACTCAGTGTTTACCTTCACACAATGTTTCCATGAGAAAAAGCTTCATTCTGGATTGCATACCTCCTGCTGTTTTACCTCAGACCGTGAACGCTTTACTCAGAAAATCATAGAAAATGCTTAAGGGTAACAAGGGGTAAGTCAGGGCAGACACCAGCCGTCTGCAGGGCGCTGTTCTGGAATAACCTGCAGCTATTTCCAACCTGAGTGAGCAGGCAGAATACATCATCACTAATTTTATAACACCAAACAACGAGGCCTATATGAAACGGGATGTGGTTGCAAGGCTGAAGGGGCCTTTTCTTTATCTTTAGGCCGGCTCAAACTAAAAATAAGAAACCCACAAGGCATCCGTGCAATGGGTGATGCAGTGTAAACAAGCTGAACAAAAGATGGAAATTGAGGTGGTGTTTTTTTTTTTTTTTTTAAATAAAGAGCTTCCACATGATAAAATCTTCAAAAAATGGTCCTGCCTGTATGTATGCAAAAGATCACAGCGGCAATTCATTTATGTTGGACAGAAGCACACATTCTTTTCATATTACTCCCGGCTGCACTGCTTGTCCCTCTACTTGACTTGGAAGTTCATGCAAAAAAGCAGTGCAACACTGAATAGTACACACGTGGTGCAGCTGGTTAGGTTGTGTAAACCAAAACAGCTTAAAGGTTTACACACAACAATAGTTGTTTCAATTTGTACAAGACTACCCAGTGCCATTCCACATTAGTGAAACAAATTGTTTGTTGAAGTAATACAGGGCAGGCCAACTTCAGCATTTTTTTATAGCATTTTTCCTAAATACATTCCTTGCATTTTTGCTGAACTAAAGACTGAAAGAAGTGAAATATTTCCCCAAAACCTGAACAATAATTAACATTTTGAAGGAAACCCCTGTATTTAAATCACAAAGAGACGCCTCAAACTCCACACTTAGGTTTGACACAACTGAAGTTCATAACTCTCTCCCCACAGCAGAGGTAGGAGTAATACAAGCTCAAAACTGTTAATCTGTTGTGTATACTGTATTGTGAGTCCTGAAGCAGAGTCATTACCTTGAGGGCATATCTGGTTTTTAGACAGGAGCCCAAACAGTCTTAAAAAGGTCGACTGGAGGGCAATACTCAGCTGCTGATCAAATTTCATAGCTTGAAAAAAGAAAGCCCAGGGCAACAAACTCAAGGCAACCTTCGCTTAGTTTACTGTTCAGTTCAGTTCAAATGTACTTTACTGGCATGAATGTTCCATTTAAACAATGTTGCCAAAGCAGCTTGCAACAAAAATCAAAAAATTTCATTTAAATATGACATAACATGATAAATCCAATCAGTCTGGGTCAGTTCACCTTGAATACCAAAGTAACGTTAATGTTAAATCTCGCCAGTCAGCACCACCTCATGGCAACATCAAACCAGATCAAGTGTAACGTTAGTGTTTGCAAAAAGAAGTGGCCTCGGGCATTGGGAGTAACTCACCACAGTGTCTGGAGCTTTGGCCAAGTCATAAACGTATGTTAAAGTTACACTGACTAGTCCTATGATCCCCCACTGCTGTGAGGCAGGCTGGGACGTAACAATAGTTTAATGAAGCGAGATTATACGGACTAATGTGCAACAAGTGAAGTAAAAGTGAAATTTAACTGACTTGCGGGGATGCTCGAAACCCCCTGAAGGTAACTTACCCCCATAATGTCCCAGGAGTCATTTGGGAACTGTAAGTACAATTTCACCGTGGGGGGAAAACAACTAAAAAGTGACCGTTAATGTTACAATGTCTACAAAACGTGTATATTCATTTTACGCGAGCCACAACGGCCGTGTTTGTTACGACCGTTAAGCGTTAGCAACTCCCAAACCTGTTCGTGGAAAAAATAAATCACAGCCACAAACATCAAAAGGACTCACTTACCGAAACTCTGCTCGAAGAGATGCCGGGATTTCCGTTCGTTTGTATACGCTATTATTTACAAAAGCTCATCAGTTGTTGGTTTCTGAACTTCTCCGTGCCCACCAGTACTGCCCCCGTCCATCCACATCGCTACGCCATGATCTCGAAGTGACAAGATTGCTGGAAAACTTGGGACGTCACGGCTGGAAAATCCCGCCCTGCTATTGGCTGGATTGGCCTGGGAGCAGGAACTTTTTACATGATGGGAGTCCTGGCGCGTTCACTGCAGCATGAAAGATGGGAGATTAGACTTTCTTGCTGGATAAACCCCGTTCACTGTAACGTCAGCAATGGACAGGACTCTGAGATTACTTAAAACGCGAGGAATCTTTATTTGTCTGTTTATCTGTGTGAAAGCTGACCAGAAACAACCATAATCAACAGTCGCTTCTAGCCGCAACGGTTGACGGCCTTAACGTGTAGAGGTCAATCAAGAAGATCTTCCAACCCCGTTTTTTTGCTGAAACTTGAAAACATCATGTTCCTAAAGTCTGGGAGGCGCCTGTTTGTCAGTGTCAAAGAAGCACAGGCGACATCAAGTGGTCTGTAAGTGTCGGGGGTAGAAGAAGCGTCCTTCATCCATCTAATACAAATTAAAGTCCTGAATTCAAAGTTTATTAAAAGTATAGAAGCATTAGTAAAAGGACTCAGTATGCAGAAGGGGAATTTTCAGATTGTTATGTTACATATTAAATTATTGTTGATGCATCAACATCCAAGTATCATCTTAGATAAAGGTGGTTAATTTTAACAACTTTATTAGCTATTTGATAGTTTATTATAAGAACACTGCATCATATTTTTAATCTGGTTAGCTGTCAGATAAATGTAATGCGGTTAAAGGTACAATATTTCCATCTAAAATGACATGGAATAAAAGTAAGTCACATAAAATGGAAATACCCAATAAAGGTTAAAGTAATTAAGGACTGTAGTTACATACTGTACTTTACTTTGTTACTTTCCAACACTAATATGGTACTTAATAAGCATTTACTGCTCAGGACCAGAACTGGACAGCAGACACACATTGAATACCAAGGGTATGCAGGGCAGTCGAGAGAAACTGAGAGCCACAGTTTTGCCACATGATTGCAAATTCCACTACAATGTTTACTGAAAATGGTAATGTTTGGTCTGTCTCTTGGTACAAGTTAATCTGGCCGCAAGTGCAGAATGGATTTTTAATATGAGTAGGACAAGTAAAATGTCACTGTCTCATGATAGCCATGATCAGTTCTATAGGGAGACTCAATAAGACACAAAAAAACAGGAATGATCAGAACTACATCAAATGATGCAGGTAAGCAAAACTTTATTTATATTGCACATTTGATTCCAGGTGGAAGCACTGCACAGTGTGAGCTACCACAGAAGTTGCAGCCATACAAACTAGATAGTAAACATTAGACATAAGTAAACACAATTAAAACAGAAACATTAAAACATTAGAAATTTGGAATAAAATAAAAAATAATAATAATTATTATTATTATTATTACTACTATTATTAACATTCAGAATAAAATAAGACTAATAACTAATAAAAGAATAATTAAGTTGACCAACAAAAATAATAAGACATATGAGTTAAAACTAATGAAATAAGTAAGAATAAAATAAAATATTAGTTAAAACCAGCAGATGCAGCAAAGAAAACACGAAGAAAAGAACAAAACTTAGCACTGATGCAAACAGCAGAGGAAAAACAATATGAAAGAAATGATCAAGGCAGAAACTTAATAAAACCATATTTAAATTTTCCAGCGCTCTCCAGTGTCTACCTTGAAGTTACTCAACAGATTATATATATATATATATATATATATATATAATTTGTCACAATGAATGGAAGCTGTGTTGCTGCAGCGATTCCTGGAAATTTCTGTCCAAATATTGACTGGTTTATTACTCTGCTCCTAGAGGATAAAATCCCCCACTTCAGGTCAACCATGGGGCCCCAAAGCGGTGTCCCTCCTCGGAGGCCTCTCTACCTTCACATTGCGCGGGTCACATTCCAGCATCTCCCTGATCCAATCATCATCCAGGGCTCCCTCTATGAATTCCTCCAGACTGATGATGGCTACAGACATAACAAGGACAGATGGTGATTACAGACAAAGATCAGAGGACAGACTCTATCAGTATCATTTGGTTCAGTTCCCTCCTCTATGCCTGCGGGTCATAGTATTGGTGAGCAAAAATGTAGTGGTTTTTAATGTTAGTTAAGTACTGTAAATTAATATATATATATATATATATATATATATATAACTATAATCTATGTAGGAACATCAGTTAGTATTTCATGTTTTAGGTTACCTAAATACCTATCAAATACATATCCCATTCTGAAGCCCACATCACACTGGAACACACCCCTGCTAAATGTTTAAGCATTATTTTAATGTAATAATGCATATTACAGATGCTTTAGTTGTTTTAGATGCATTACCTCAGCTTAGGTATGTGTTGCTTCATCTCTTAAACTCTGCGACTGAATGACAAACTTACATTTATAAACTTGGTATTCTACAGAAATATAGCCATTAACCATGCGAGGTCAGTTTATTGAGGGGGAAAATGACACACTCAGAGCCCTATCACTATGAGAGTGTGAAATAACATTACACCATCATTTCAAGCAGAAAGGGAACATCCTTTCCTCACCGTTCTTGTCTTTATCTAATCTCACAAATATCCTGTTGGTACACTCTTCAGCTGTAAGTGGGTTGGGTTTGGTTAAAGCAGCTGCTACACTCATCTGATAAACAGCCTGTGAACAAAAGGAAACACACACCAGTTGGACTAAAAGATGCAGTGTCTGTGGTCTCATCTCATAAGTGAGCCATAATTTGAAATGTACATCCTGCCTTTTGCTTTGAAACAGAGTTTGCATATGACACAGCAAAGCACACACACCTGCATGATCTCCAGCATTTCCTCCCTTGTGATGGCTCCGTCCCGGTCTTTGTCATAGAGCTTAAATGACCACCGCAGCTTCTCCACAGCTGAACCTTCAATAAGCATGCTGATGGCCATGACGTACTCCCTGAAGTCCACCACCCCGTCCTGAAGAAAAGCACCTCTAACACCTTTGTTTGTATTCCTTTTTTTGGGTTGTTTTAACTTTATGATGCATTATTAGTATAGCAATCATTATTGTCCTGTTTGTGCCGCAGAAAAAGCATTCCCTCCAGATACCCAACATAAAGTCATTCAGAGTACTTTGCTTACCCCATTATTGTCCAGTGTGCGGAATATCTGTTCTGCATACTCAGCTGACTCACTGCCCACTGTTCCATTGCAGAAATGCCTTTGAAACTCATGAAGAGTAATCAGCCCACTTGGACATTCATTAATAAACTTTCTATCAGAAATTTAATGAAGAGAAAGGACATTTTCAGTTGTTAGAAAACACCAGAGAACATATGGGAAGTCTGGATAATGTGCAGCAAGAGAAAAGTGTCCTTTAAGAATTAAGGTCAACCCATCCCCAACCTGTGGAGATTACACGTGTTTAAAAGGTTTTTTACACCCTGTGACGGGATTGCTAAGATAATTAAGCCAAACGATTTTCAGCCACTTTACTACAACATGCCAAAGACAATCTAATCAACAGTGAGTAGTAGTTATGTGAATGAAGTAGAGCTAGAAACACACTAGAGCCACATTTATCCTACTGCTCACACAGCAAAGAAACGGAGTAAAGGAATCAAACAGGAAAACATGTAACAACATGGGGCAATGATATGCTTTGTAGATTTGTCTGGAAAATAACATTGGTTGAACATTGCATCACCAAAAATCTGCAGTTTAAGCTGCATGCACTGCTGAGTAGCTATCCATGTTGTAACTTTGCACAGCTCTAATGGGGGCCTTTAACGTTTCCACTCTTGTCTCCCCTTTAACAGGCTCCTTATACCTGAATAGGCCTATACTACACGTTAAGGCCGTCAACCGTTGCGCCTAGAAGCATACAGAGTGTGGACTTAACAGCTTTTCTGTAGAAAATGTTAAAAGCCATGTGAAACTCTTACCTGAACCATTCGTACAGCTCTGTAACGTAAGACTCCCCTCTCCTACAAGGCAGTGTCGCAGCTTGGCCCATTCTGTAAAGGAGCAGCAATGGTTCTGTATCTCCCACTGACTTTATATACACAACAAATCCCAGCTTACGCCATGCTTTGTTAATTGAACTAACCATTGCCTTATTACATTTCACAAATTACTCAAAGCTAATCTCGGTTGTAAGGGGGTTCAGGAGAAGGTAAATGTAATTATACAAGAAGCATGCCGCTCAATCTGCCTCGCTGAGCTTGATGAAATGTTTTGAATTCAGCGTGGCTGTTCCCAAAGTGTTTTTACGGTCTTTCCGTTTGCTGCAAATATAGATATTTAAAAATATGCCCAAAGTTCTTGTTGAATGTTTAGTAACTAATATTTATTAACATGACAACCTGGGAAGACAACCCAAACATGTCGATAGTAGCAGCAATAATGCAAAAGACAAATACAGTTCTCTGGAGTCCAAAAATCACACAAGAACGAATTTATAAAGTGTCAGGACGTGGTACAATAGAGGCAGTAACAAGCTACCAACAGCCCAATATAATCCCAAAGGTTAAGATCCTTATTCATGGAGACAGTTGGCTGTGTCAGCATGCACCAACATGAGTCTGTCTTAAAGGTTCTGTAAAAGAGATTTTGAACGTTAATATAGCAGCAAATAGCTGTTTGCTGTGTAAAGATATGAGATCCTGAGCAGAGAATGACATCACACTCCCTCAGTGTGTTGTTATCAAAGCTGTACCTTGTTTTGGTGGCTGCCGGTCCACATGTTCTCTCTCGCTATCAAACTATTTGCTTTGAGAATAACAATATAGCGGCTGGTTCCTTTATCTAATTTGGTGAATTAATAATTTATTTATATTTATTGATTGTTGGAACAGCGGATATGGCAAATATGGTTTTGGTGAGTTTTATTTTATTTTATTCAGTTTGAATGAAGTGTGTTTTAAGATGATGAGCGAGGTAAAATTATTGTTTTTCTCAATGGAGTATGGTGGGCTGTGGCACCCATTTGTTTTGGTCTGAGATGCTGGTGCTGTAGCGCAACATTTAGTGGCAGTGAAAGTCGCATACGGCTTCTTTAACCTCCCAAGTCGAGGGATGAAACACATTTCAAAAAGCGGCATGCAACTTGACACAAAGCAGGGCGTGAACCCCCGCCCCCCACCCCCCAATCTACTGTTTTATTTCAAACGGAGACAGATCATACAAATTATGTGACCTCGCAGCAAGGTGCATAACCCAGTCACCACAAAGTAAGCTGAAGTGAGAGCAATGTCTTAGCTTTCTGGGGAAATCACAGCTACAACAGGGCAATGGTTGAACAACGGGAAACAACAACAACAACAACAACAACAACTACAAAAATGACTTGTTGCCTTTAAAAAGACCAGCCTGTGTCTATGGCACGACTCCATAGCTCTGGTTGTTTGGTTAGGTACGAAGTGCTGAAACCAACGTGTGCAGCTCCTGTTTCATCTGCAAACAAGCCCCTGCCTGATTCATCATGTGCACGGTATGACAAGTTGCCTCAAGTTAATCCAATGATACATTTCAGCCCTCCTTTCAGTCTGCGGAGGCGCAGGGCAGTGAGGTGGCAGCACAGGTTTATCGTGTGTCCGAGCAGACATGTCCAAAGGCACTTCGGACACAGACAGGAGGGTCCTTGTGAGTTCAGCGACTCCATCCACTGGCTCCTCATAATTCAAGCATTAGAGAGAAAAGACAGTAATCCTTCATGATTCACAGCAACCTTTTCTATCCTCGAAACAAGAGTTCTTATTGGTATATCCTTAACAGTCAACATGAGAGGACTATAAAATGTGGCCCGAGATACCAATATATATAAAATCTACACAATATATTGTATATTTGGGCAGCAATACAGCCCCTGCTGTTTTGACTGACTGGTTTAGGTACTAATGGCTAACATATACCAACTTTGCCTTCCCTATGAAACTCCAGCAATTTACAACACTAAAAAAAAAAGTGATTTGATAGATGTACTATACACAGTCAATGGGATATCAAATGAGCCCAAAATCGATGTGCCATGTGAACTGATAATAAATCTGAATTTCAGCATGTTGTCGTATTCTTACATAACTCTTTCAGAATTTGTAAAATTTGCATTTACTACATGTTAAGAAATGGTACAATTGTTTATAATAACAATTGGAACAGCCGAAGACATAATCTGACATACTTAGATCCTTTACATTTTATATTGACCCATAAAACCATGTGGCATGCCACATCTTAGCGGTGGATCACAAACAGAGCTCATCACATATCAATGCTTTGTTAGTAAAATCCATGATGTGCAATTGTAAGCACGAGCAAAACAAAACTCCATACGAGATAAACTGCATCCATACAGTTGTGACTCATTCAAGATCTCACCAAATGTCATATTACAAGTCAGCAGTATGTATTATACCCTCTTGAGTTTTTTTTTTAGTCATGCATGATATGGGAGTGACAATAACATGAAGAGAGAGCAACAGACCTTAAAGTTTAGAATGTATGGAATGACAGCTCTGCATAGCATAATCCCTTAATAAACGCATGTATGGCAACATCGTGTGCCTCTGACAAGCACATGAAACATGAACATGTTTTTTGAAACACTGTCAGTGCATTACAGTACATGAAAAAATAACAGCTTCAGCTATGGCTTATCTGCAGGATTATAAAGTTGACAATAAGTGTAAGTGTAAGAACACAGACGCACAGGTGAACAAGCACAGACTCATTACGAGAGATGACGGACATGACAAGACAATGTACAGCTTGTACGGAGGTATGTAAAACCTTAAACTGGACAAAAATACTGCTACAGTTACTAAGAACTGTGTCATTTTGTGTTTAAATGGGGCGGCTCTGTTTCCATCACTCCCTGAGTTATCACTTCTACCATCAGACTTAGAGACACACATATTGATAAAATGTCACACAAAGGAAATGGGTTTGTTGCTCAGCCGTTGCTGCCAAACCTCCATTTCAGCACCTCTAAGGTGCCGTTTCACTTGGTATGAAGTAGCACTGTAGTGCTCATAAACCCGTGAATCGACTCAACCACCAAAGCTGGCTGCTCTCCCAACAAATTGGATGGACAATTTCTACAAAGAAATGTTATATGTTCAGAGCTAGGGCAAATAAAACCTAGGGCTAAATGTCTATAGAACTTTACATAATAATAACTGAAAATATTCTTCCTATGCAAACTATCCCTTTAAGACAGATACGGCCTGAAGACATGGTGTTTGCAATCATACCAAATCCGCACATATACAGTACGTTCAAGTCAGTGTACAAGAGAGGAGGTTACTGGACTGTTTCCATGTGAAAATGTTCAGATACTGACAAGAGAATCTCTCTGAGCGGCACATCGTTAGGTGACTCTCAAAGGTAGAGGTTATGGAAGTGTGGTTTGCCGTGGTAGACCTTCGGCTTGGGTCCTGAGGGATCAAAAGCTGGGCCAGGTTATCAAGGGGTCTTCCTCACATTTTAATTAAACATACAGTACCTAATCAAATTACGACCATTAAAAAAACCGAAACAAAATTGATTCAGTGCAAATTCTTTTTTGCGTTGCCCCTCCCATCCTTTGTTCAAATGTCAAAGCAGAGATTTATAAGCAGGAATCCCGAGCCAATGTGCATCATCACTGTCATTTGTGTTCATGGGTTCTTTATCCTTGTGAGGCCTCTTCAGTTAAATGGAGGATGACAGTAGATGTGAGGAAAAGCAGTGAGGAACAGCGTTTCAGGGGAGGCAGGCCGCTGTTAAGGCTTTAGAGGTACATCCTCCTTCTGAAGAGGGCAAACAGGTGTCCCTTACTGTCGTCGATCCCGCTCCCAGTTAGAGCAGCCACACAAAGACTGCACAGCTTATATGCAAAAGGTAACTAATAAATAAAAAAGTCCTTTAAAAAAAAAAAGAAATGCTGCGTCTTAGAGTAAGCATTCAAGCAGTTCTAGTCATTAACAGAACTGATGGTCCAAGTATTCTTGTAAGAGCAGATTCTATAAAGACCAGTGCATCTCTTCAAAGTCTACAGCCTCGCCCAGGTTTGTGTCTGTCTCCAGAAGGCTCATGATCACTGCCATGGCTGCTTCATCATTGCTAAGACCACTAAGACCTGGTCCAACCACACTGTCCAAATCCAGCTGGGAGTTTTCTTCTGAGGTGAGATGGGGGTGACAGAAAAAAAAGAAACTTCAGAGTTATGAAAGGGGAGAATAATAAGAGTTTCTAAATAAGCTTAACAACAGGATCAAAGAGCGTACCCATGAGTGATTCTCCTCCTGAGAATGCCGCTCCCTGGGGCTCATCCTCTGAGCTGGACTTTCCTGGTATCTCCATGTCTGTTGCCTCTCCATTTGGCACCTAGAAACCAGCAGAGGAGCAAATTATAAATTGCAACACAGATGGTGTTAAATCTGAGCAGTTTAAATTACACCTTTCAACATTTGGAGGAAATTCAGCATAATTTCCCAGTACATCCAGCTGTGATTGGGTGATTGAGTCACATTATGGTTGTTCCGATGTTTTTCCTTGACTGCAAGAGGTTTTAATAAACGGAGGCAGCAAAACATGAGCTTGTTTTAGTTTGATAATTTTTTTTTTTTTACAGATAACCATGAAGGTAGAAGGCAGACCTAATTATCAGCTAAGTGGAAGGACAGTTATATACACACCAATGAAGACGTTTTAAGTTTTTATTGCGGAGTTTGATACCAAATGTTTGACATTTCAACTTAAGTCGTCTGACTGAACGTGAGGATTTTCATACACCTGTAAGCATGTATTTTAAACTAAACTGAGGAGGGAAAGTTCCCACCCCCCCTAAATTACACTCAACCATTTTTGGACTGGGCTAGTCTGAAAGGCATGCAGTCATGCAGTTTTGTGAATAGGTAAGACATTAATGACTGGGACAGATGCACGCATGATCAAAGAAATACACGTACAAAGACTTACATTGTTGCTGATTTGATTGTGAGTTTGTGGACACTTATCCTGTGGTAGACTGAACGGGCTGACGTTACCACTGGAAGGTGATGAGTTCATCCTAAAGCAACCCAGACACAGATCTTCACTGCACACAGTAACTATAACGACTGATAAGCACAGCAACTGTAGCTGTAAAAACACTGCAGCATTAATTATTATTATTATTCTATTCATATACGTACAAAAAAGCCTGCACTCTTTGGAATTGTCCATCACATTTACGTATCTCTGTCCAAGTTACAAAAAGTAAAGAGGACATGAGCTGAGAGAGGACTCACCTGTTGAAATCCAGCAGCTCATTGGCAATCTGGGTGCCTATGCTTCCAGCATAAATCATATTTCCAGGCATGGCGACGATGCCTGGTATAATTGGAAGGGACTTCTTGCCATCTTCTAAGAGAAAACAAAAGGTAGGAGTGAAAGGAGCAGACAACATGTACTTCACAGCGTTCTATAGCTATACAATCTGCATTTTTAAGTATAACAGGTCATCAGAGATATCAGTGATTATTTCCCCCATTTGAACTGACCTTCAGAAGTCTTGGAATTGCTCGACTGTTCAGACTTGTTTCCCGACCGACTGGTTTGACTGTGATCATGCCTTGTCATGTGATGAGAAAACAGGCGAGGCTGTATATCCATCTCAGGTACAAATACATTAAAGGTAATGCACAAAGGGACTGAAGCATATACTCACGATATGACTGTGTTAGTTGATACAATGTATTCTACATCTTTGGTCCAGGGATTTACAAAACTAAACCACTGACTTTGCAGAGTGACGAAAGAGCCATGTTTTGTTTTGAACTTATAACAGCTTGTCTCTATTTTCTCTTTACACCGCAGCACTGTGGAAGGAAAACAGTGAGAGGATGCTTAAGGGCACAGTACCTGCAGACATAAAATACCATCATGATTTCAAGTAGAAGAAAGATAAACGGTATCAGGTCACTGAAGAATGGTCTTTACCTTTTCGATGTCTGTCAGCTAAATGCGGTAAGTCGTCTTGATGGAAGTATTCATAGCATGATGTCCCAAGCAATTCTTGGGGAAGATAGCCAAGAATGGTTGTCGCTCTGTGGAAGAAATGTAAAAGGTTAGGTGTTAAAAGAGCATACAAGTGAATAACTGTAGTATTATCTAGAATACTGCATGTACTCAATTTGAAAAGATTTGTTTGCACTTTGACACCAATCAACAATAAAATAGTGTTGATGGCCGATTAGTTAATGAAATATTTAAAATGCCTCAATCATCAAGTATTTCTCATTCTGATTAACTAAGCCATGCACCAAGAAACTCCAACCCTCTACCATCCCCATTATTGAAATTCAATTCTACCTTTGATCGACAAAGGTGAATTTGCCATCCATGGCATAGCGTGTGATGAACACTGTGGGTTTAACTTGGACTTCTCCATTAACCTGGGGAGATGAGTGGGAGTGGACACGTCCCACTGCTACCAGGCAGCTGAAGTGGGAGCTATCTTGCTTGTCTGCCTCACCCTCCCCCTCTTCTCCCAAATGACTGGTTGGCCAGCTGCGCATGTAGCCTGTGCAGTGAACTGTGCAGTACTTCTGTGACTCTGTGGGCACAGGCAGAGACCAAATCCCAATATAAATACATCAAACAACACATTAAATAAATTTATTCCTTTACACCAGAGGCCTGTCCTGTCAAGGGAGTTCAACCTACTCAGATTTAACTCGGGGTTCTCAAGGAAGGTCCGTGTTGACAAACTCTGACTGCCTAGATTGGTGGTAAACGGTACTATGATGGTGAAGATAATGTTGGGAAGTTCAGTGTCAACTTAATTGGAGTTTGAGGCTGTTCGCAGAAAAGGGGCATTTTCGCCAACGCACAATGATAGCAGGGTATGAGGGATATAAAGAAACGTTAATGGCGTATCTTGTGTTGTATATTCTCTGATTTGTATTATGATTGAGATGTAAAGTTATAGCTGCATATGGAGACAGAGGAGAGGGGTAATTATCCAAGAAAAAGCTCAGAATTTCCAAAGTAAGTGAATACATTTTTGAGGAAAAGAAATCAGGAAAAAACTTGAATATTCTCTACATTGCTTCACTTTGCAAGACTGCAACATCACACCACAGACGTACAGACAACCAAAGTAGTCCAAAGGAGACCAAATAAATTCTAACCCTGAATGTATGAAAGATCCTCTGAATAATCCGCTGGATACTTTCTCTACCTTTCTTTTTGGAGGTGCTGGCTTGGAATTCCTTCTCCACTTTGACAGATATTTTATTGTACTTCATGCGGCAGAAGAACGAGCGCCGTGCACCAGAACATAGCCGCGCCGCACCAACTGGGAGGTCAGCCTGGACCTGCAGACCGGCTGGAAACATGAAAGGAGTGTTAACGTGCACCCTCACAACCACACACATACACACACACAAACACAGACAATCATTATTGCTTTACTTTTAGCATCTATAAGCCGTTCACGAGGGTATAATTCAGAAGCTGACAGCTGCTCCTTCACTTTTCCCATGTCCTTTGGGTGTATGTAATCAAACAGGCTCTGACCAATCAGCTCCGCCTGTAGGAAGAACAAACAGCTTATCAAATGGACCTAAATACACTTCCTATGCTGATAAAAAGAAATGTCAAAACCATTCTGCATCTAAGGCAATTCCTGCTGACAAATAACAAATTTAACAAAGTTCAGTAATTGTGGACTGTTGACCCCGGAGCACACCAGATACTGTGTGGATCAGATTTAGTTTTAAGAGAGGCAGAGAAAGCAACATCTTATTTCTCAAAGCTTCTGTGCAGGACAGCACATGTATGTTCCTATGATATATTCACATTACACTAACAAACAAGGAGCAGTCAGCTGTCTACTGAGGATTTCTTTCCAGCAAGCACTTTGAATTGAAATTTGGCAATTTTTTGAAAAACATCTATCAGGATTTTAAATGTACTATTAGTACCACTAGAATGCCATTTTGATTATAATCCACAAATGTATGATGATCTTTCTTAATGAAATATAACATTATTTTTGTATTTCTGTAAATTGTACTTCTGTATTTGTGCATGCAATGCCCAATGTGTTGCCACAGGCCCACGCACGCACTTGTGGGTCCTAGACCATTAACACTGGCGCCAACACAACACAGCCCATCTGGTGTGCCCGGGGGTTCCACCTCAACAAAGATGCTGCAGATACAGTAACAAATGTAAAAGCGTTACCCGACTATAATTTAATATCTTCGTGACGGACTCAGAGACAAAAACTATTTTCCCACGATCACAGCCCACTACAAACAGGAACCCATCTGCAGCCTGCACGACAAAGAAACATGGGGGGAAATAGGGGGATCCAATATGATGACATGGTCAAGACAAAAGTAAGAGGCCACTAAGTAAATTATTTTCCATTTTATTTATATATTTGATTGATATGGTTTTTAAACTAAATATAAGCATTTTAATTATCATCATGAAGATTCTGTGCATTTCACTACTTTCTGCTACTTATAATCAACTATAAGGAGAACAGCCTACACAATGAGTGACATTCAAAGCATGTTAATTTTGATCTCTCTCTTCAGATAAAATTGGTGGTTGATTATTTGAAGTTTCAAATGGACAGACCCCACAGTAATGCAGAAGTATTGTTGCTAGCCTCAGTTTATAGCCTGATTGGTAGCTCTCAAGTGATTGACAAGTTATGAGCTTAGCTTTGCATTAAGATCACTGAAGTAATTATCTTAAACAAAAATGTCTTCCATTGCAGTTTCACGTTCTCAAATTGTGGGCACATAAATAGTCCGTGCCTCTGTCAATGGTACGTTTACCTTGAGGACAAGGTGTTTGAGCTCCTCATCGGGAAGGAATGATGGTTTGTAGCTGGCTTCAGAAAAAGAACCTCCTGAACCTGAAAACACAGACAAAAACCCCACACTGCCAGGCAATTTTTTTTTTTACAACCTGTGTCTTATTTTCAGAGTTTGAGGCCATCAGCTCCATCAGTAATAACATTGTACACACTAAGTTGGCCGTTGAGATCTGGTAACGTGGTGAAATTGCTAAAAACAAGTCAGATGTGGCAAGAAACAAGCGCAGTCATGCAATTGGACAGTTTTTGAACAAACCCTCAGGTTAGCCAGACTTATGTCTAAAAGAAAGTGAAGGCAAAATTATCACCCAAACTGTCAGACACACAGACCTCCCCATTTAACTTGAACCTGCCATTCTTGCTGTAGTTTTCCCTGTTCAATGTGGTTTAGATAGTCTGACTAAACTGTTGGCTTGTTTGCAACCTGGCGAATTGTCAGACTGCTAATTTTGTTGCCCGATAGATGGGATGTTGTCTTGTTACCAAATCTCATGAGGTGAGTACAAGGTTATTATAACTGATAAAAATGATTGCCAAAACAACAAAAATAAAACCCAAGCTGCAATAAACCGGAATTATCCCTTACAGGTGGGATAAGAGATTTTAATCCAATACACCTCTTTTTATCAAATATCTCCTCACGGCCCACTGGCTGTCAGTTCTGTGTGCCCTGACAAAAATCTGGTGTTTGTACACAGCCCTGGCTCTGTAAATGGGAAGAAAAACAAGGTGGTCTGCGACCTGCCACACAACACTATTCCAGCAGTTCCAGCCATGATTTGTGCGTCTGGCAACATTAAATGACTCGCCCATGGACACTCTTTCTAGTTCGCCAAAACATGCTGCTGTTGTTGTGGGTCTCCCTGTTGGGCTGGCTTTAAAGCCATCTTGCCCTCTCTGCATGTCAGCTTCAGGTTAGCTTCACAGAAGCATCTGTAATGACAGTATGCTAACCCACAATTACTTGCTGTGTCATTGTTTGCTCTATATAATGATATTTGTCATGGTGTTGGATTTCTCCACAATCGCTTACTCCACCTTTAATTAACTGAATGCATCAGTGAGGACAAAGTCGTTTTTTTTTTTTTTTTAACACCAATGGCCATGGATTAACACGGTACCTTTGAGAGATTTGAGGTGCTGCACAGCCATTCTGAGCACAGTGAGTTTGTCCAGTTTACGCGACATGGGGTTACAAGTAGGGATCATGGCAGATAGTTTGTCAATGAGAGTGTTCATTTTGTCCCGTCTCCTCTTCTCAATTTGGCTGTGCGGTTCCCTGCAGAAACATTAAACAATAAATAATTTAGAACATGCAAAGGACTTTGACAACGTACATTTTAAGATCAATGATAATATTACAAGAACGTAGGTATGTTATAAATGTGGTGATGACAAACTTAACCTACCTAAAGCATTTAATTTTGACATGTTGGTCCTCTCCATCTGTCCTGTAGAGCAGAAAAATACGCATTTGAAATGTATTTATGCAACGAAATGCAAATGCACAATAGCACAAAATAAACAGGTCAGCTCTGAAAGTCTTTAATTAGCACACCCGTTTTGGTCGTCTTCCATGTCTGCGTCAGGGATGGAAGCAGATTTTGTATCCCTAGGAAGAAAATTCATGATTATCAATCCCAATTAACAACAATTTAGGTCACAGGAATAATGGGATTTAGTGCAAGACAAATGAAATCACACAACTTACTGGTTGTCCATGCTGCCCTTGCGCTTCCGGGTCATCTCCATGCTCAAGGACATGCCAGCAACTGAGGATGGGGTCATCGGGCTGGGTAAAGACATAGAACTGCAATGGTTGTCTTCAACCAGCACATCTTCTAAAACACACAAAACACAATGAGCTGTAACTGGATGTTAAGGGGTGGGGACTTGATTTTCGTTTGCAAGCGTCAATATGTTCCCTTACACTAGGGTGTCACGAGAACTGATGCTTTAGTACCAAGTTGATAACAAAATACTGAAAACTTATAAAACTTGTAAACTCTGTATACATTTTTCTAGGTAGGTAACAAATATCATAACACGTGAAGGTTGGCGACAAGTACTGTTGCTGTCCTTTCTGTACAGTCTGTGTCATCTGTCGTAATGTGGTTAGCGTCTGTCACCATGTCAGTAAATATACACTACTGCATGCACTCGGAGTAGAGGGGGTGCATAGGCTCTGCTGTTTTTTTTGTTTTATTTTTTTTTTTACAGTTATTGGGCTATACCTAATAATTTATTAAATGAGTGTACGTTGAAGTACATGGGATTTATTATTTTGTTTTTTCCCGTGGTATCAAATTTGGTCGAGAATTGTGGAATTTCACTGGTAGTGATATTGACTAAACTTCAGGTATTGTGACATCCCTACCTTACACTACTGTATTTCATGCTAGATATCTGTTAGATTGCACTCTCTCAGATGTAGTTAAAAAATATCAGTTGCATTCTCATAACCAGAGCTTGCCCAAACATGAACGCAAAGTTCTTATGAGAAGCTTACAAACAGCCTTGATGAGCAGCATGGACTGCATCTGTGACACCACTCTTTTAACATAACGCCATATCAGTCCACATAGGGACAGGAATAGTGTTAATAAAGAGGAGAAATAAGACTCTTTCTGTTCATACTGGGGAAATCTGAAACAATGAAGATGCCCAATAAAAGAAAGAAAGAAAAGAAAAAAGACGATGCAAAGAAAAGCATTTAGTAACGTGAAGGAATTGCCTTCGGTGTGGGAGACCTGGGTTCGATTCCCACTGCGACACAGTGTGTCCCTGAGCAAGACACTTAAGCCCTAGTTGCTCCAGAGGCGTGCGACCTCTGACTGTATAGCAATTGTAAGTCGCTTTGGATAAACGAGCCAGCGAAATGAGTTAAATGTAAATGCACCAGCCACAAAATTGTTACACCACCGATTGCTCATTTGCTGCAATTTAAAGTTTGTTTTCACATTTTGTCTGTTTCATGATGACAATGTATAAAAGATTATTATTGAGTGTATACATGCTTTTAAAGTTTAGTGATGTTGTGTCTCTGTGCTCCCACCAAATGAGATATGAAAATAAACATTTTCAAAAATCCGA